TAGTGCCACCGTTGATGATGATGGAGTCAGGAAACTTAAATTTGCCAACCTCCTGAAGCGCTACACCCCCCCTCCCCTCCTATGTACCACTTCTAGGTCAGGCATGCCAGATGGGTTCCTCATAATTTTTGACTCTCTGGTGTCAAACAGGAGGCCCGTTTTGCAGCTACGTTGCATACAAAAGCCTTTAGGTGACAAAATCTGCTTCCCATGTTACTCACCAAGGCAATATCATCTGTCTACATATAGTCGGGAAGATATCTGTCTAACCTAATTCCGTGAACTTTGTCGTTGTCAAGGTTAGAACTGTTTCAGAAAGGAAAGTCGAGAGCAATGACGAATGGCAAAGGCAAAAGATCATCGCCCTGACAAACTCCACAGATAATTGGGAACCACTGAGATTGCTCTTCAGTTTTGAAAATGGATATGATTCCTGCGTAGATCTCTTCCAAAATGGAAGTGCTCGGATGTTCCATAGCAGTTCAAGATTTTTCCTCTCGCATTGCCATGTGAGATAATAACTTGAATGAGCAGTTGCGGTCCTACTTCATTTAGGCAGTGAACCTTCATATTTCAAGCAGTTTCTAGCCATCTATCACCTGTTTGTAATTTTCAAGTTCCAACATTTCTTATAGAAGAAAATAATACAGTATTAACATGACTATTGCCATTTTAAGATTTAAGAAGGATCGACCTTGAACGACAGGTAAAGTTCAACTTTGCGACAACCAGTAAAAATGCCTTTTTAATTCAAAAACCCTAAAATCTTGCTGAACAGTAAATGCTCACAAACGAAAGACCTAGAGCCAGATTTCATTCATAATTCTTTTTTGCTGCTCAGTCAGATTAAAAATTGTTCGACCAAAATTTATCCAGCAAATTCAAAAAACAATGGGTTGGCGCTGTGGTGCATTATTGATTTGCGAATGGAATCCGTAAAAAATCTACTTTCCAAAAATACAAGTTTACTGAGCAGAAGTAAAATAAACGCATGACCATAAAACGGCATAAAACAGACCGTTCATACAACTGAGAGTCAGTTATTCCGCAGCAAGTTTTTCCTAGCATCTTTGCATAGACTTTACTTTGGAGGGTCAATAACGTAATTCCACGATAACTGGAGCACTCCCTGTGGTCTCCCTTCTTGAACAGGGGTACAACAACCTCCGTACTGCAGTACATTGGGGTCTTCTCCGCAATCATCACAGTTTGACAGACACGCTTAAGCAAGCACATGCCTTGTTCGCCTATTTCGTTGAGCATCTCATGGCGGATTTCATCAATTCCAGCAGCCTTTCCACAATTTGTTACGCCTCCGGCTGCCAGAAGATGATGAACAGGTTCTGATCGCAGTTTTTAGGCAGCCTGCCTCAGTCCACTACGGCATGTGAGCCTGTGCAGCGGTTGCTAAACCGTTCTATAACCGTGCCGGTATAATGTTCGATGACGGAAATACCATGAAGGGTAGGTTGTTAAGTTTTACGGAGAACTTGCCATTATCTCCAACCCTCCTTCTTTCTCACCCATGCCTGGAACCGGAAACGGCGGAGGCACAGGATATTCAACGAAACAGACGTAAAGTGAATTATTTTGCACGTTCGAAAGGACCAAAATCAATACTTGTTTACGAGCTTCGGATTCGAAACATCAAAAATTATTATATGAGTAAAACATTAATAATGACTTTGAGTTACCCCAAAGGCAGAGTTAATGCTGTATTTCAAATGACCTTCTAATAAATCTGCGTTTGTCATTCGATGTTGGCTTTTGTTATGTAGCAACTAAATTCACACCTGAATTTAATTGAGTCTATACAACGAAGAAATATGCCGCAAAATGAACTTTGCCTTACTCTTTTTCTTCATCTTCATCATCCATTTGCCTGTGAAATTTTCGTTATTGAAATAATATTGATTTCAGCTCTCTATGCATATTTTGTTACTATGGGGACAAGCTCTCAACTCTGAAATCCGACAATCAGCTGCTGGTTTTCACGTCAGCACGTATACTTCAGATTCTCTAATTTCACTTATCGATACTCAGATCCTTATTGTCTTTATTGCATCACGTGTTCAACTAGCAGGAAAGTGACGTTTGTGTGACGTTTGTTTCTTGCGACCTCTGAAAGAATGGAACTGAACGTGCTCTATTGAACTCTGGGAGGTAAAATTATCTTATTTATGCAGTGTCTTTTATGAAATTATGCAAAGTACTCCATTTTAGGATTCGCATGCTTATGCAATCATGAATTTGATCACTCACAATAGTGCTTTCATTTCTGCTTTGTGAATATCATTTTGTTTGTTTCATGTCGGTACATGGTACACCAATCTATTTATTTCCAAAATGATTACTTTCGCTAGTCCTTATCCTCATTTCATCCGTATTTTTTGATCCATTGTTTAATAAAGACTTCTCCCAAGATTTACGATGGGCTTCTGTTTTCCGCAGACTTAACCCATTTTGACTCAGCCAACTGTTTCAGCACATCACACTTTAATAATACTGATGATGAGGTAATTCGTTCGTGCGTTGGTAGTCATATTGAAAAAAAGCTTAAAACATGGTTTACTTATACACAACGCAAAAAATGTTGTGATCAGTCCGGTGGCGGAACAATATCGACGTTTCGGCCCTGTCTCACGGGATTTCTTCAAAGTAGGTTCGATTTGGCTGGTCGTCTGGAGCTGCCGATAGTTTCAGGACCAGACCACAACATGCCTTGCGTTGTGTATGAGTAAACCGTGTTTTATGCTGTTTTTTCACTAATACTGAGTAGTACATGAATTTATAGCATATGATCAATTTATCGAAAGAAACTCATCTACGACGTACTGAAAATAGCGTCTTTGTATGGTCATTTTGGCGCATCAGTTATGGATTCTTAACCAAGCCAAGTTTGCTACTCGATGATATCGCCAGTGTTTCATCGGTATTTGCGATTAGCTTCTATATTTTCGTTGGCGCATTCCCTGTTTTTCATGCAAGTACTCATTTGTATTATTCATATTGCAGCACTGTATTTCATTATTTCGCCTGAAAAAGCTTTAAAACCTAGAGAACCAGTCGAATGATTCCTCCAAACCAGGTTTCTGACCTCTGAAAAAGATGATAGACTACGAATAATTATTTAACTCGTTCAGGTCAAAAAATGTCCGCACTGAAGCCAGCTTTCGGGGCCAAGCTGAATCATAAAATCTTACCGGGCACTCTTTGTATTGGCTGCTTTGACAGTGACCAACCATGTTTGGCAAGTGCCGATGCCGCTGGAAAGGTAAGTCGCTTAATATAGGTAAATTTACGTGGTGATTTGAAAACCGTAAAAATGATATACTGTGTTTAGTGCATTGTACCATTATGAAATAAATCTATCAAGGCTACAAGCAAGAGTAAGAGCAGAGAAAGTGAATTTCTTTATAACAAACTTAATTAAATAATGGACCACTTTTTTCTTTTATCGGTATTTAGAATTACCACCCTTTTTACGAATTCTAGAACAGTTACATAAGGAGATCGACACTCCAATTAGGAACCCAGGTAGAAAGACTGGAATCCATTTACATAACAAATCTTGAACAAAGCAAAGCGAAATATTTTTATAAGCAGACATGCCCCCTAGGCAGAGGAGAGGTTCCGAGACACAATTCGAAATGTTGGTATCGATCTATAAATTGACACATCACCATTCTTCGTTGTCTATAATAAAGCTCTTTTGTGCAGATTTTCATCATGTGTAAGACACAGAAGAGACAAATATGATTCGTTGTGGATGGTGTCGTACAAGGAAATGATAATGTAGCACATACTTCGCTACCTGAATCAATGAGACCTAAGAAATTCAATGTTGAGACGTTCCTGAAATTTGTACCTTTATACGGTGACTCCTCTGAATGTAGAATGACAATTTAAATGCTATCCTACTTTGTGCCGTACTAACATAATAGGGGCCTGTCAATAAAACGACAGTGGTAAACAATTAATCTCATTATTCCAGGTTTCGCTATATCCCATGGACGGAAATCGGCTCATGTCCGGTTCAACATCAACGGCGAATTCAGCTGGTGAAAATTACTCTGATGTTACGGTGCTGAATGTCAATCAGCACGTAAAGGCAATGATCAGCTGCCAGCTAAAGCCAAATTCTAAAAGAGACGTGATAATTTTGGGTACGGGTAGTCACTTTATGGCGTATGACGTCAACGACAATTGCGACTTGTTCTATAAACAGGTAAGAAACTATAGCTCTGTTTTAAATAGCAAAGTTTTGTGATTTTTTCTGTCATTATTGGTTATATTTCCAAGCAAAGCATTCTATTTATCCATTTTACACAATTGTGAAACGTTTCCCTGATTATTTGTCTTCATCTTCATCTTCATCTTCCATCGCCGCTTCTGCTTTCGGGTCGCGGAGGCAGACGCGTCAGACAGTGCT